ACTTGCACCTTCAAATTCCACCTACAGTCGTCACCACTTTCGATCCTGCTTTTCCTGTCTGTTGATACTTCCGCTGTCGGTACCGTTGTTGAAGTCATCACTATCTTCACTCCCAGCTACCCTTTTTTCTGGTACTGTCTTAGTCGTTTCCGCTGTAGAACAATCACTTCCACCGATATTCCTCGCTGATTTTTCCCTTATTTTATCTTTCCTCTACGTGTATTTTATTACTTTATCGCTTTTCTCGTCTCTCTCTTGACTAACATAAACCAAGAAGTTGGACCACATACATTTGCAACTTGAAAGAAAATCCAGTATTCATCTCATCTTTGGAAGTTTCAGAATAATAAGATATTTCGTTCTATCCTTAGTGTACGATCGTTTCGTCGTATCTCAGTGACAATTTGTTTACCATAACAGCAACGTGAGACGAAATAGCGTGAGAGTGCTGAGAAATAAATTATTTCTTTTGGTGTTATTTCTTATTGGGAAAAAAGAAATCGAACTAACTTATTGGGAAATAAAAAATACGATATTCCATATATTATTTGCTCTCTAATTTATAAGTTGCTTTTGGCTTCGTTTTCGGTTGCGTTGGCTTCGTTATAGATTGCGTTTTGCTTGGTTTTCATGATCTAATATACTAGGTGGTACAAGTGATATTATTAGTGTGCACATCAATTTTTCCACCATATTTTTAGCAGATTGGGAGCAATACTGGAAAAGTATTATGAAGTAGTAAGTGATAGTCTGAATGGTCAACTCTTGTTTGAAGGTGCCTGAAAGAAAATTCTGGAATTTACCTTTTATTGCCTGTGTGAATTTACGAATTTTCGTAACCCACAGATCAAGAACGGTTTTTACACACACAAAGTACGGAACATTACAGTACTATTTTAGATAAAGTATAGTTCCATTTACGGATATATCCTTGAGTTTCAATTGTATTAAATTGAATATAGCATATTTTATTTACCAAAATGAACTGTTCTTAATACTTCAGACATTCGTTAATTTAAACATTTGTACACATTCAATAATACCACATTTTGTTTGAATTCAGACGTTTCGATCCCAGAGACGGAAGGTTCTGGCATTGCTGTTAGCCATGGATTCACAACCATGCTGCCAGTTTCATATTTATAATATATCTTTTATCACTTCGTTGGACTCACAAAATAGGAAGATGTTAGTATTCTTTTCAGTGCTCTCTAAAATTAAGCTAGAAATGGAACTTTTGTTTGAGGCAGTAACCTTCAAATGGCTGAGATATAAAATTAGTTACATTTATTTCTAATGCTCAAAGGTATTGTTACGCCGCAAGGCATTCTTCGTTTAAAGGAAGCATTACAAAATTTTATTCTCGAAATGCATTACAAAATTTTATTCTCGAAATGTTTTGATGTTAGGGGAGATTTTAGTTTTGCAATAAAGACCTTCGCTGCTGTTCGGTTCAGTGTGCGGTGCTGGCGGCGGCGATGGCGGCGGCGGGCGACGGTTGAGTGGCGTGGCGCCGGTTTCATTAAATAAACCGCGAAAATTGGCGCGGGGTATCGGCGGCGTTATAGCGCCGGTTTTTTGCGGCGGTGGCCTGCGCGCGCCGCCGCCGCGCCTCCTCGCGCTCCTCGGTCCTTCGCGCCTCTCCGTCCCACGCGCGCAGGGCAACGGCCGCGGATTAAGCGCTCCATGGCCCACGACGGCGCTTCGCCCGCGCCCGCCCGCTTCTCTGGCACTCATCCTCCCCCGCCCGTCCCCGCGCAGTCGCCCTCCTTGCCATCGCCCGCTCCCCCCCACAGGCCTCCGCTCCCACTCCTACTCCTCCCACTCTACACCTGCCCTCGCCCTTGGCCCCTCGCTTCTCCCCCTCGCCGTAGCCATCAGCCACCGCCTTTCCCCGCGCCTCGCCCTCGCCCCCCTCGCCCTCGGCCCTCCCCTCGCCCTGCGCCCTCGCCTCGCCCGTCGCCCTCGCCCTCGCCCTCGCTCCTCGCCCCCGCCCTCGAACCACGCCCCCGACCACGCACTCGAAACCGCGCCCCACTCTTGCCCTTCGCCCCCACTCCCGTCCACCTCCAGCCCCTCCCCACCCCTCCACCTCTAATGCCCTCCCCTCCGCAGGAAGTTGGTTGATCAATTGTGTAATTGAATCACACAAAAAATGACGTTCTCGAATGTAATCGGGTCCGGAAGGGCATGATGTGTGACCAAGTTGATCATGGACAGAGTGGATAGCAGAGTGTGCGAAACAGTGTAAGACAAGGGGAAACTTGTGGGATGTTAAACGCTGGAGAGACTGGTCTGAGATGGAAATTTAGTCGGAAGAAAAGAAGAATTCGGAAAACAAATATATATCAACAAATATTCTGTGACAAAGACAGAAGCATCAGGGGTGGAGATTAGGGAAGAAGCCAATGATAATCTCAGAGTGATAGAAAACCAGAGTCAATGAAAAGGATCTGGGAAGTTGAAGAAAAGATCTTCTGCTCGGTGGAGATGTCGGTGGTACTACCCGTGGTCCTATTAAACAAGTGGAGTTATTTAATTCTAATATCTTGTGCCAGGTATTTGTCTTATGGTAGGAAATCATTGATTTGCTGCTGAAATTGATGAGAAGAAGAGGAAGAAGAATGTGTTGTACATGGTATGATGATGATTTTTAGTGAAAGTAAAGCAATAATAGAAAGTGGGAGAACTTCGAATAAGCATAAAGCGTTCTCGTTGTGTCGTTCCCCAAATTGCATGTGGAGTGTTTGAGAATTGAAACTCCTCCTCCTCCAACTCCTCGAGTTACTAGGTAGCATGATTTTGGAAGTGACGTATATTTTTAGAATACGCTGTTGTCTTGTTTAAGATTGTTCGTCTTTAAAATCTACTATAACGATGTTATATTATTTTTCTCCTGTGCCATGTTTACTTTTCCCGCAATTGCCGTGGAACGGTTAGATGAGCAGCGTTGTAATTGCGCTAAAAAGCGGTGTTCCAATTTTCTTTCCGAAGGGCAGGAGATGAATGACATTCTGGGTGACGTACTTCACCATTACACATAAGCTTCCGCTGCTAGAGTTCATGACTTCTTGCCTGTTCGGGTGACGCCGCTTCGTCCACAGAGGCCAACGTATTGCCTGTCATGTTGCAGTCTTCCTTAGGTCAGTGAAGTAAAGTCACTGCCCTGACAAAGCCTGTGACATGACAGGCACATAGTCGACCTCTCAGTCAACGACGCGGCGTCACGGACCGCCAAGAAGCCATACTTCACGTTTGTTTACTTGTATGCGCCATTCATTGCTCATTGAGGATTTTTTTTAGTTTCCTTTAGTGTTAACTATTTTTTTACTAAATTCACTATTATATTCTCTAAAAAGGAATTAGTTATCTCTTATATCTGCAAGGAATTAAATGAAAATAAGTGCACCCTATCAGATTCTTAAAATCATATCGTTTTAGCCCTTATTCTTTATTGCGCCTTTCTAGGATTAAACATAGTTGATTACAACTTTTTGCATTTTTCTGGAATTCACTCTTTTCCTGGGCGATGATTTATTGTCGCAGTCAATGAGTGTTTCAGAATATTAATTGTTCTTAATATTATATTCTATTCCAATCACTGGCTTTTGATATTTGAGAATCCCATGTTTCTTTCTTACATTTTTCTTTCAAAATAATCATCATATATTACACGTTTACACATGTTGATAAAGCGTGGCTTGAAGGAGGAAATACTTGCTTAAACCCGATATTAATAAAAACTGAGTGCTATTGGGTCTAGTTTTTAAATTTCAGTAACATAATTTAAACCTTGGGAAAAGGTTTTTGAAGTCACTAGGGACCCACAGAAAGGGCTATAGATGTCAATGTTTGAATTTTTACTGCTTGAATCCTCTCTGAAATCTCCTATAAATAACGTACGGCATTAGCTATTTTTAATAGTCGTTGTAGATAACTTTTATAGCTTTTGGGTTTGAATGTGGCTGCTTATTCTAAAATCTAAAATATTGGCTAATTCTAAAATTTATGACCCTTGGTTTGAAACGTTGACCTATTATAAAATCTTTTATTACTGAATAATGTATTTTTTCTTGAGAAGGGAAACAGATATATGCTTCGGTTAAATACATTTGTCACACAGATATAGGTACTTGGCTTGTAGCATTTTTGCTTCGTTAAAGCGCCATCTTAATAATTAGTGACGGTAATGTGAAGAGATTTCGGTTGTAAATATTAACAGCAAGAGAACGTGTGTCGTTTTCTACGAAAAGGCGGTCTTCTTTCGTTCTCTATAACATTATATACACATTATATAGTATTTTTCAACGTAAATGTCATTCATATAAACTGAAAGTTAAAATTTTATCGACACCTCTTTTCAGTATTCACATTAGCGTAAATATGTGATAAATAGTCCTGAACGTCACAAATTGGCATCAACAGCTTTCTCAAGTTAAATGATGTTATTATGTGGTATAGGATTGAACGCATAGAAGCATATTTGTAAGAAATTTTCAGTCGTAAAGTACTGTGTACATGTTTCCTAATCCCATTTTTAAAAACAACACTCGTACTTTCATAATAAATTTTTACTTTTTAACGACATATGCGAAACTGATAATGCATTATTTAAAAATTCATATAGTTAAGTTTTTGTGTTTTTGAAATGCGAAGTACGTAATTTCATTACATACTTCAAATTTCAAATCTGCTACATGCTCTAAAAAGTACAGTTAATTAACTCATTATTCATCAGACCTTGAGTTATCACTTTGCGATGTCATTGTTATTTTCAAATTTTACATTTTATTTAAGGAATTCCCAGAAGCATTAACGAATCTTCAAAGTGTTGAATGCAACATTGTTCTCAGAACACCTGGCCCGAATAAACGCGATTTATTAGATCGAAACCACTGCTTGGTGCGCTTGCCAGCCAAAATGCATTCCGACCAGACTCGCACACCTGGCCAAGCCTTGTGTTCTCGCCCTGACCTCTTCTTCTTTCTTTTTTGTTGCAGGTAAGGGAAGGCGCGCGCCGCCGCAGATGCGCACCTGGCGAAGGCGCACGCGTGCGCTCGTCGCCGGCTCATCTGCAGAGGTACGCACGGCACGCGCCGGGTCGCCCTGTGGCTGCGCTCGCGCCGCCGCCGCCGCGGAACAAAAGCCCGTTTGCGGTTGCGCGCGTTCGTTTGACATGTAAATGAGTTAGGGGATTGATTTGCGTCGAGGACGGGCATAACTTTGCTTGATGGGAGTTGTAGGAGGGAGGGGGGCTTATGAAGTTGACTGCGCCAATTCGAATAGAGCCGGTTGACAGTTTATGTTCATCATCATATGACGTTATTGTGGCAGCTTTCTTCTGTTAAATATAATGTAACGAAATCAATTGAAAACCAAATGAGGAAAAGTATCTCGGTGCAACCGTTATCGAAAGAAGTGAATTACAGATATGATGTACAGCTCCCGCTTTTATTTGTATGCGCCAGATAGCTCATCATTCCGTTGTAGCGACATAGTTCATTATTTTCACATATCTCAATTGATTAATTGATGTATCCGGACACGTCAACAACTATGGTTGATACTCCCGTTAGGGTTGTGAATGTTTTATTCTGAGAGGTGGTGGATTTACTTCCCCAGTAGATGGGGAGACACCGTGCCGAAGTATACGTTGGCTTACGTGGGATTTCCTCCTCTAGGTATCTCTCTCCAGGTAGCATCTTTGACATATTATTTTCCCATACTTACATTTGCACTTGCATTCACTACATTATCACTTAGGATACCATTAGAGTTTTCATCGTGTACCGGCGGGGAGTGGTGATCCGCTGGTGGGAAAGACATAGATGAGAAAATCGACGTCGAAGTCGCCGCCAAATCTCGCCATCTAGTGGGGAAGAACACCGCCATCTCCCGTGATAAAGACATGCACTACACTAACGGGAATAATGATCACAGTAGTTGACGCGCCAACCAAAATAAACAATTAAACTTGATCTGTTTTGTTTCTAAAAGGTATGTTCAAAACACAACAAGAAAGTACCACATCGTAAAATTATATTAATATTAGTTTCGATTATATCACCCCAAGGTTCTAGTTTTACCTAGAGGCTCGACTACATAGACTTTACTGACAAATAAAAGGGGTCAGAGCTCACTACAGTGGTCTCTCTAATTCCCAGCGAGAGACCGTTCTCTAACTCTGCTCTTCTCAGTGACAAGCATTTGTCGAGTTTCACGCAGCCGCATTCGCCTAATCATTTGTGTGCGGCTCAGGCACAGGCACTCGGAAAGGGGGACACACGGACAGCAAAAATGTTCTTTTGTCTACGAATTGTACGTAGAGGACGTTAATTAATTTTATAGTTATATGATAGTTCTGGGAAAAGCATAACATCTTATGAGAGTGTTTTAATAATTATTCCTACAAAACATTTGGCCAATACAGTTTTTTCTGAAGTACATTTGTGTCAAATTGAACTCTGAAAGAAAGAAATTTAAATGTTTCTATAAATAAATAACCATATTAAATAAATATTATTTAACAATGTGATACGCTTAGAAGTTCGCTTCTCGTAAATGGATCAATTGATGATTCCCCTCGACGTTTATCTGATAGGTAACCCTTAATAGTGATAGATGACTACCAACATTTCATTTCAGTCTCTTAATTTCGTGTGTACAACATTGTATTTCGTACCAAACAACATTGCTCATATTTACCTTTCATTTCACATGATCGATACCTCCTGAAGAGCTCATTTTTCTTTCCTCCCTTCAGTCGATTATGAGTTCAAATTTTGCCCAGTTTAGCTGATCATGTATTCAAATTCATTCGCATCGTAGTTGGCCATTTGACGTCGTGTCCATTACTCTCCGATCGCAGAGAAGCGTCCTGCAATCCGTCCACCGCACAGATCACCCTTCGCTCCCCACCCTATCTGCACTTGCTGGGTCGCTCTTCTCCCCCAAGTCACCAGCTCTCCGCCTGTCCTCGCGTCGTCCGAACCTGCTCTCTCGGTCTTTCCCCTCTACAACAGGCGTTTCCCACATCGCGTTTGGACGACAATTACAAATTTGTCTTAGTGTCCATTACCTTTCCGTTTCTCGCCGTATACGCACACTGTCGCCAACTGCATGGCAATCGTTTTACCCTCACTACTACAAGCTAATTTAGACTGGAAATGAGACAACTTGGCAGCACTATTGCAGCCACTTTGGCGATCACCTTAATAAGTCCTAAAATTTGATTTCTGGGCTGAATTCAACCGCTATCTCAAGGAGAATTCGTGCTACATAATGCTCTGCTCCATAGTTTTCCTAGTAGTTTTTTCAATGCCAGGTAATAGCAGGTGAATAACGGAGCAGTGCCTAAGCAAACGGGCCATGGACTACCCGCATTTATGCGTCGGCATTCGTCGCTCCCCACGTAACGCACTAATAGGCTCTTTCACGCACTTACAGGCACTAATTTACCTCTAATGTCGGAATCTGGAACGTAGAGTTAGTTCAAGCTAGGGAAGTGCGCCGCTGAGTGAGATACCAGGAGGAATATCCCGCAAACCTATGTAAAAGTTTATGGGACCAGATATCATGCCAGTGGAAGGGGAACACCGCCTCCTCCAGAGCGATAACAGCACACGCGCCCGGTGTCAACACTCGCTCTCTTAACTCCACCACATCCCAATCTCAGAAATCAATTCATCTTTGCCACCGCATTATATTTATTACTAATTCCGCAATTAAGTTTGAGAACTTGGTGGCAGCATACACGAACTTAACGTTACTGAAATTAAATACTTTCCAAAATTAGAAACTTTGCGAGCTTTAGCTCCCACTTTGTATTTCCACTTCATCAGGTCATTTCCCATAACCGGTTCGCATGACAATTCCGTATTCCGCTGGCCGCTGCCGCAGCCTTCTCGCGGCGTGCCCCGCCCACCTCCGTGGACCCGCCCGCCTTCCCTCGTTTTTGCTCGCCTCCGACCGGCGTGAGCCGCCTTTGATCGGGCCAGGGGGTGTCCCTCGCGCGAGCGATGTGCTTAAACGCGCTCGCACCGCGCGAGGCCGCAAATAGCCTGCGAAAACCGCGCGGCACGCCGCGGGCGAATGCTCGACGCGGGCGGCGCTGCGAGGCGGGCGGTGCGGGCGGGCGGGGCGGAAGCGGCGGCGCGGAGCGGGTCGGGGGGGCGGGGCGGAGGGGCGGCGGAGCGGGGCGGGGCGGGGCGGGGCGGAAGCGGCGGGCGGGAGCGGGGCGGGGCGAGGGCGGGGCGGGGCGTTGTGGGTGAGCAGACCTGCAAAGCACGGGACGGTTATTAGGGCGCCGCCTGACCGCCTTACACAGGCGACGCTTTTGTGGCAGCACACGACCCGCTTGTCTCGGTGGCTTCGTTGCTGCTTGCTTTGCCTGCTGTGGGAACTGACGCTGTTCGCACGTGAATGGCGATTGTGTCCCTAGGCCGCACTGCCTCTGGCTTCTCGTTGTGTTTGAATTGATGCCTTATTTTACGTGGCGAGACTCGGGGCCATTCAGGCCCGCATCTTCCGTCTACACGCAAATTTCGCTACGATTCCTTTTCACCAGAGCTTAGGCAGAGAAAGGAGGGTATTCTTGGGCGAGAAACAGGCGATTCTGAATTTAGGTTCAGAGGGCGTCATTTAGGCTTGAGGGATCTTATTACTTGCAAGGTAAATCTGACTAACATTGGGACAGCCGCGTTACTTTCCCCTCTAAAGGAATACGTACGAAGGATTTTTTCGTACTTAACCTAAAAAACCGCGTTGCGTCGGGTTTGTACCCGTGAACTTTGGTAATAGCAGTTCAAATACGCTAGCCATTCTACACCATTCACCACCGAAATCACCGCCCCTTCCCCGCCGCCCCCTTCCCCGCCGCCCCGTCACCCCCGCCGCCGGTCGCCACCCACGCCGCCCCCCACCATTGCTGAGTCCTGCCGCCCTTCCTCTCCCGCCGCCCCCACCGCGTCTCCTGGCGCCGTGCCCCACTGGTGGGAGATACCTGGTTGGGGAAAACCCCGCTAGCCTATGGTAGGCGCCGGAACACCAGCGGGGAAAGATTACCACCATATCCCGACGAGAAAACATACGCTGACTAATTACCTTAGCCGTTGACTCGCCCGGATTCACTTCTCAATCAATCAGTTTTCCGCCCTACTGGTACTACCTAACCGCCTGACCCAGTCCTTCCCTTTCACACGCGTCCCTCCTCTGCCCCGCCTAACCTGAGGCCCGTCAAGCGAAGCCGAGCCTAGCTGTTCTCCTCGAACGTGCGTGCCTCGCGTCCGCCGCCGCCCCCGGCCGCCTTTGCGGCAGCTCCCGTAATGGAGCGCCCGCCCCGTGCGGTGCTGAGTTGGCTGGCCCGCTGGCCTCGAGGAGTGGCGCTGATGGGGGTGGAGAGGCTGGCGCAGCGCACGTGGCTTAGCTGCCCTCTCGGAGGGCTCCGGGGGCGACATCGATGTGGCGAAGGGTCGAGTAGGGCACCCAAACGCTTTTTTCTGCTTACCAAACGTTATTCCTACTTTGGTCTGTGTCTATACATTTCTTTATTTTTGAATCATTCTGGACGAAGATAAAGTTTTAACAGTGTTTTATTGATTTTATATTTACACTTCATTTTACAAAGACTGCATCATACATATAATATCAATTTACTCCTACGTGGAGAATATTACAATGATATGAGGGTCGAGAAACCATTACGAAAGCTAATATTGCACACTGAGAAATGCCGATTAGGGAGTTGTGTACAAAAATGTTTCTATTCCTCTCATTAACTAATAAGAAATAATTTATAAAATTTGGCCAAATAATTGTTCGCAAATTGCAAAATAAAATCTTTAAAAATTGTGAACATCAGATAGTTATTACTGCGCCCTGAATGTGCCATCAATCTGTCATCTTCGAGCCTCGAACACATGACCTGATCTACAAAACTTCATCTGCCTATCTATAACAATATTTATTGTTTGTTAGTAGGTCAGTTTTTTATGTTATTGGTTATTTTCGTTTTTAGTTCTTTCTTTATTCGTTCATTTATTTACCCAATTTTTACTTGTTGGATGAAGTTTTTCGAATAAT